AAACAGATTTGATTGCAAAGGAAGAGAAGGGATTGGATTGGGGGGAAGATAACAAATAATGGAATAAAGAGTTTTGCTTTGTGTATGATCAGTTTGAAATTCTTAATAGACATACAAATATATGTCCATTATCTAGTAGTTGGCTGTATATATGAATCTGGAGCTCTGGAAAAAAGCCAGGGATAGCGACTCTGTGTACTCAGGAGTCATCCACATGTAAGTGCTACTCATGTACAAATATAGAATGATGGTAGATGGAGATAACTGGAAGAAAAGGAGAATGAGGAGCAGCAGTCATTAAGGTAGGATAAATACCAGGAGAGTGCAGTGGTCATGGAGACCAAGTAAAGAAAGCATTTTAAGAGAAAAGAAATCATCAGCCATGTCAGTTGCTTCTGAGACACTGAATAAGATAAAAACAGAGAATTGACATTTGAGTTTAGAAAGATTGTGGTTACCAGTGATCTTAACAAACAAAAGTTCAAAGAAAAGATAGAGAAGGTAGCCCTGACTGAAATAAAATCAAGCACGAATGGGTAATAAAATTGTGAAACAGACAACTCTTCAGAAGCCCCATGCTAGAATGGTGAGCAGAGAAACATGCCGTAGCTAGAGGGGAATTTGGAGTGAAGGGAAGCTTTTTACTTATAATGGGAACTTTCTAGCATATTTCATGTTAAAGGAAATGCTCCAGTACAGAAGAATAATTTGGTAACTCCTGGGAAGCAGGCCAGAATTTCTGGAGTGATGCCCTTGAGCAAATGAGAAGGGGTGGATGGAATATTCAGGCAGAGTCAGCCTTAGCAGAGGGAGGGCAAAGCATATAGATAAAAATGAAAGATTTGAGGGTGGGAGAATTTGACAGTGAAAGCATTGGGTAGTTCTCTGTTGATGGGTTTATTTTTCCCTGCAAAATAAAAAGATCATTAATTGATGAGAGATAATGAATATTAGATGTTTGAGGAGAGAGGAAGCATTAAATAGCCATTTTAGAGACTGGGAAAGTGATTTGTCTGGAAATAAGTAGTAGGATTGCAGGTCTGGTGCAAGAGGTTTGCCCACTTGAATTGTATGGTTAGCTCAAGTCATTGCTTTCGGTCATGGGCTTTTCTCATTCTCATTTTATGAATGAAGAAACTAAAACAGAACAGTGAAATAACTTGCCCAAGTTTACACAGAACATGAGAATATCCAGAATCGGGCCTGAGCCGGCCTGCCCCAGCTGTCTCCCACCGTCACTACGCCATAGGGTAGCCCATGTGTAACAGCCGGCAGGCTTCAGGATGCATCACCGCAGAGTTGAGGGAAGATGTTCTGAGATCTGAGCTGTTTATATGTCTTCTTCCCACATTCCAATAGCTCATCTTAGCCTCTTATGTGCATAAAACTTTAATAATTCACATTAAAAGGAAGACTAATGGCAGAATATTTTTAAGAGAAAAAAATAGTAACATTAAAAACAATAATGCCTTTTTCTCTGCCATATTGGGAATGAAAAAAATTTGCTTTAGTAAACGATTAGAAAATAAAATTTTATACCCTTTCTGTGGTAACATTTGCTAAAATGTGTTTTGTAAAGATAATATAACACATTCTAAAAAGATTATACTTTGAGCCTATAACATAGCACTATAATATAATAGAAAATATCACAATATTCTCTCTTTACTCAAGGTTCTTGGAATTTTTAATGGCCCTAGATGATGTCTGGATAGCTTTTGACTGTGCCTGAAATTGTCCCAGGCCATTATTAGTGATTTTGCTTTCTTATTCCACAAACTGAACAATTTATTTTAGTTTCAATTCCAGCATCCCCCTTTTTTTCTCATGTGCCCAATTCATTGATGTAACTTTAAAAGAACTGACAAAAATGCATGACTTTACAGATGGTATCTGTGAGGCAACTAGGGATTACAAAAGAAAAAAAAATGCATTTAATAGTCCAAAAATATTCCCATTACAATCTGTTGAACTTCCCGATTAGATGTTGACTGATCCTCCCAGAAGGCTGATCTCCGCATTTGTGCAGTAGAGTAACCAAATTAACCAAATGTTACCCGTTTGGAGATGGCAAAGGGCTTAAAGTATTGGAAAGAATTACTTGTAAGGTTGAAAGTCTTCTTTCTCCTAACCTGAGTCCCTCATGTTCTCATGCCTAATCAAGAGTGATAGAGACAGTGTAGGTGAAGACATAGAAGCCTCTTAGTGATAGATTATATTATCTTTGACCCCTTCTCCTGATTCCTATTTCTCCCCATAAATGCCCTATCTTTTTATAGGTTCAAAGTTACCAAAAGAAAAAGCCCCTTAAAGTAAGTCACAACTAATGGTTTAGAGAAAGAACTTACCTATCAAAACATACTTGGATCTCTGTGTGTTGCCATTTAATAGAAATAAAATGTGAGCTGCCTGCGTAATTTTTCTAGTAGCAATATTTTTTAATGGAAAAGGAAACAGGTGAAATTTATTTTAGTAAAACATTTAATTTAACCCAATGTTTAATGGATATGGAAATTTCTTAATAATATATTTTACATTCTTTCTTTCATACTACACCCTTCCCACACAGGCCTAGCCACAATTCAAATGCTAAACAAGTGCAGGTAACAAGCAGCTGTGTTATTGAACAGGGTACCTCTAGATGAAGAAATGCTGAGCATGTGACAGATCCATTCCTATGGGTCATAGTTATCATCAGCCTTCATTATTATTCTCAAATTTCAAAAGTACTTCTTTTTGATAGTATAAAATTATATCATGAAATTAATTGGTTGTACTGATAATGTACTTCTATTAACTGTTTAAATATCACACCATTACCTTCTTTAATGAGTTATCCATAAACTGCCTTACATTTGGACTTCTGCATAAGCTTAATTCACTGTCAGATTTCTTGATATCATCGAAGTTCTCACTTTCATCCTAACCAAAGTTAGGCCCTCCAGCTCTCTGTCTAATCTATGATTCACACGTCATCAACAGAGTAGTATTTCTAAAAAGCAACTTTGATCATTGCTCAACTACTTTAGGATAATAAAGAAAATATAAAGTTATTCATGATTTGACCACTTACCATCTTGTTTCATTTTTTTCCACTCTCACTTTTATTCTTCATTCTAAAATTTGCAAACTTCATTATTTCCCTGAGTATGACACGCTGTGTTGGTCTTTACACCCTAGAACACGCTATTTCTTCTGCCTGAAAGTTCTTAGACCAGGCCTCAACTTTCAGTCCAGCTGCATAAATATGCTGACTTCACACTAATTCCTTGAGGGACCAGTGCTTTTTAGTCTTTGTGTCACCAGTATCTAGCACAGAGTCTGACAGTAAAATACTATATATATCAGATATGTATTTGTCAATCTAACCTAAATGTAATGAAACCTTTAGGTAGACTCAGTTGTAAATTATTAACAGGAAGAAATCTTAAAAGCAAAATATAGTCATTCCTTTTCTATTTTAGTATTAAATTTAACTGAATTCTATTTTCATAGTTTCTAATGCCAACATTGAATAATGGTATTTTTATTCTGTTTTAATTCCAGTACATTTCATTTCCCTGAATCGCCCTCCCCATAGTACTACTGAAAGTGATAAACCTGATGAGAAGAGTGTTATTATCTTGGGGACACAAATCATAAAATTTTCATTAGACTAAAAAAAAATATATAAGAAGCAATATGTCTCAAAGTCCCTACTTCACATTCTGGTGAGTTTTAAGAAAATTGCACTTATGCCACACATGCCAGGGAATAAACTGATAAGATTTTCATATAATATCAAAACAAAGTATTCAGGTTATTTACACAAATATCTTAATTTCATAGTCATATAAAGCAAAGATACATAAGTCTGATAATGAGAATCATTTTTCCCAGGATAGCACAATTATTTGTCATATAAATAATTATAATGAGACTTAATGAGCTCTTTTAAGCATTAGGTACCAGAGTGAGGAGGATATTTCATAAGGCTTGTAAAAATTCTAGTTTTATAGCTACCTCACAGTTTCAACATCTCTTGAGAAGGAAACAACATAAGCTCTTATTTTCTCAACCGAGCTGTCCCCAACCTATAAGAATAGATTTTAGGAACATCCCCTAATGTAGTGACATCATCCATAAGAGACAGGGATGGGGCATCGAAAGCCCCTTTTTTATTTTCTGTTGTCTTCTTGGGGTAAGGAAATGTAAAAAGCCAACTGGGACTTATGGAGAAAAATACAATGAAAGAAGCGTTAGATACAAGAAGATGAAAGGTAGGATGAAAAGAGGGAATAGACAGTTAAAGTCACCCCTCCATTAAATTCCATTTTGTTCACACCGGCCCATGAACTTTGGTTTTACCATTTCCTGTTTTTAATAAATCTCCCTATACTTTCATACCTATTGAATTTCATGCTCCCATTACTTAACAAACATCCCAGCGAAGAAAGAATGAACATTGCTTTTAAACAATTATTTTTACCTAAAGAAGAGTTCTGTTGACTCAGCAATAGTGGAAAACTGACCAAATTCCTTCCTATTTCTTGACTTTCCTATCCCTGACCTGGGGCTTTGTTTCATATAAAGGTGCAGGATTAGAAAAGCAAAGTTTGTTCAAAGCTGTGAGTTCCTCTCTAAGTCATATCCAGGTTTTGGATGCTTAATCATGTTTACGAGGCACATGAGCAAAAACTTTGGCTGCCAGTAATCTTTTCTATTTCCAAAATTAAGCTTCAAAATATGGGGGTTTGCTTTATAAGTACATTACCCATTATGTAGAAAGAGTATGCTACTGAAAGGGTTATATATAAGATCTCAAAACACGGCACTTCCTTTGTTCTGGTTTTGAAATTCTCTGTTGAGTCACTTAGTTGCTCAACGCCGAAGGGCACTAAAGTGTAATTAATGTAATAGTAAACAGAGTATCTGGCCAGATGCATCAGCAAAACGTAACCCTCCTTTTACAAGTACATGTACAGGTTTATTTTAACTGTTTTGTTTGGGTTTTTCCACAGCTATTAATATTACTCAGCCCAGGTTCAGTGGCACAGATGCCTTTGGATACACTTCATTCCTGGCTTATTCACGGATCTCAGACATCAGCTTCCATTATGAATTCCACCTGAAGTTTAAGCCGGCAAACAACCATTCAGCATTGCAAAATAACTTGATATTTTTTACTGGACAGAAAGGCCATGGTAAGATTAATTGAACCCTCTAGGACTTGTCTTGGTCCTTTAAAAATACTCTAAAGATTCCTCAGGGACACTCTAATTGGCTGTGGATTTTTAAAAAAAAGACTTTCACCTAGATGCCCGTGGCCTCCTCCTGTTTTCTGCCTGGAGCATGTTCCTTGCGGTCCAAAGTATTTAGCAGTTCCCTGACCATTTCTTAAGCCCTACTTTACATCAGGGCTACTGTATTAGTCAGTTTTAATGCTACTATAAAGAACTGCCAAGACTGGGTAATTTATAAAGGAGAGAGGTTTAATTGACTCACTGTTCAGTGTGGCTGGGAAGGCCTCAGGAAACTTACAATCTTGGCGGAAGGTAAAGAGGAAGCAGAGCACCTTCGTCACAAGGCGGCAGGAAGACGTGCCCAGCAAAGGGGGGAATAGCCCCTTATAAAACCATCAGATCTCTGAGAACTCACTCTCTATCACGAGAACACATGAGTAAAACTGCCCCCCACAATTTAATTACCTCCACCTGGTCTCTCCCTTGGCCCCTGGGGATTATGGGGATTACAGTTAAAGATGAGGTCTGGGTGGGAACACAAAACCTAACCATATCAGATACCTTTTATGATCGAGAGAAAAAATTCCTACGTGCAAATATGAGGACAGGGAAAGTGACCAAGTCACATGAGAAGTAAGTTTATTGATTAGTTCTTTTCTCTGTTTCTTTCTGTTTCCCTATGTGAAGAGAGAAGGAAAATTCTCATTTTTTAGTGTGTTATAAAATGGAAATGATTGTTGCCCTCAAAGAAAACCATTCTAAATTAAAGAAGCAAGAAATTAAGAAAGTACTCAGCCTGTAATAAAGAACTCCAGTGACCTGGAATTGGTGGGAAATCAACTTATAACTTAAATTTTTCTCTCTTGAGTAGAAAGTAGTTACTTATGTATTAAGTCAAGGGAAATTACATACTTTTAAGTCTCCAATCAACAGTTAAGCAATTAATCACCTAATTTCTCTGAGTTCAGTGTTTTCATCTGTGAGATCAACCTATTGTAATAGAAAAAGAGCTTTCTCTCAACTGTCAGTGGTTCTACTGTGCTAGGGTAAATAACATACTCCGTTTGTTTCAATTCAATCAGTGACTGTCTCTTAATACCAAACACTCTTTTCTGTATTAGCACATGTCTCAAAGGAGCCTACACCTTAAATGAAATGTGATATTTCAGCCTCCCACCATGTCTGCTAGGGTGGGGTACTCTATCATGTAAAGTGCAATTCATTCTACATCCAAAATTTGTTTGAATCTCTTCCCCATCTCTATGCTGAAACCTCATGACCTCCTCCTGACTTGTCTCCCTACTGATTTCCTGCCTGCAATTAATTCTCCACATCGTAATAAGAGTTAGCCTCTTAAAAGGTTTATTGGATCATGTCTGAACCTTGTTTAAAACCCATCTATGGCTTTTTACTGCACTTAGGATGCAATCCAAACCTCCTTATCATATTCTCGAAGGTCCTTCAAGACCAGATCCCAGTCTGTATCTCTGAACACAACCAGGCCACTCTCACCATCTCTGTGCTCTTCTCCTACAGCTCTTCTTCCAGTGCCTTAACCATTAAGTGCGTTCCTGTCTCAAAGGTTTCGTGCATGCTTTTTCCTTGGCCTTGACAGGAAATCGCTATCATGGTGGTCGAAGTAACAGGCTCTAGAGACTGGTAATGTAGCCATAAATCCAGTCTCCACCACGTGCAAATTATGTCAAGTTACTTAATGTCTTTGTACCTCTATTTTCTAACCTATCAAATGGGTATAGTAACAGTATATTTCCTTATAACATTGTGAGGAATAACAAACAATACATGAGAGGTTCTTAAAATATCATTGTATTCAACAAACACAGTAGTGTATATTTTCTCAGAAGGGCCTTCTATAGCCAACTTCACCAAAGTAAGTCTTGCCCCACCCCATCCAAGTTACTCTGTACCTCAGCTTCTTATTTACTTCTTTCACTGCCATTAATTTAATTTAGAAACTTTTTTATTTATTTTTAATATAGTTGTTTCTTGTCTGTCTCCACTAATAGAATGGGAGCTTTATACAGAAAGAGACCAAGTCAGCCCTATTCGACTTAGTACACCTGTACTTAGCCCAGTCCCTGACCATGTCGGTATTTAATGAATGAATACAATAACCACAATAAGAACAAATAATTGCAGGAGATATAAGTCAGTAACAGCTTCACAAAGATTCCTAAAGGGTGTTCATTCTTAGGGATTCTCAGTTCAAATGTTATTTCCTCTATTAGTATTTCCCCAGTGGTTCCCCTCCTCCCAGCTCTTCCAGTGATTACACTTCATCTGAGCATGGACAGCCTGTTCTACATCAGGATGTGGAGCCTTTGTTACAGGCTTCAGCTGGCTGCAAAGTTCTAAATTTCTCTTCTCATTTATAGAAATGGTGAGTTATCGCTGAATCACTCACAAAGCCTCTCTCCAACAGTTTTAATAAATATCTGTGAATTCCCACTATAGGCCATGCAGGGAAATAAAGAATTCCTGCTTCTAACCCTTTACTCTGCATGCCACCTCTCATATATTTTTCAATTAAATCCTTCTCACTTGAAAAAAGGGAAACCTGGCAAATGAAAACATCAAATGAGTATTGCAGACCCTAGGTCTGTCTTGATTTAAAACAGATATTCTAAATCCTAAAAGTCAAATAGGGAGAACCCAAGCCAAAGATAAACACCTGGACCATGATACCAAAACACTGCCACCAAAAACCCATTAGTACTCATCTACCAAATACTCCTTCAAAATCTTTAACACACACATAAAAAATATAAAGCAACGTTTTAGCTACCACATTTCTAAATTGTGGAATCTTACATGTGACGTTTTCTAGTCTTCTCTAGTATTCCACTGCGTATGCAAAGGAATTAATGCTAATTCTACACTTGCATTTATAGGTTTATAGCATGGTTAAATAAAGGCTAAAGATTGATAAACCGTTAAGTTCATTTTCTGAAACTGAAAACGAGAGCTCTAAAATATACGATTCTGCATTTCACCACATGAGGGAGCAAGAACACCAGCTAAAAAAATAGCACTGAAGAGCTTTTTCTTTAAATGAACACAATAATTGTACATATTTATGGGGTATAATGCCATGTTTCAATACATGTATATATTGTGCAATGGTTTAAGACGGAGTTTCTCCAAATAAGAGCTCTTCACAAATATATTAAAATCACATGAATGTGCTTGTTAAAACTCTAGTTCCCAGGCCTTCTTGAATCAAAAAATAGAACTTTATCAAGAATCTTAGGTGTTTTTATGCAACTTTTTTTTATTTTACTTTAAGTTCTGGGATGCATGTGCAGAATGTGCAGGTTTGTTACACAGGTATGCATATGCCATGGTAGTTTGCTGTACCTATCAACCTGTCATCTAGGTTTTAAGCCCCGCATGCATTAGGTATTTGTCTTAGTCTTCCTCATCCGTTGTCCCCCTTATGTGAGTAATATTTGAAGGCAACTACTCAGAACCTTCGGAGGCCAGCTAAATGAGACTGCATGCAAGTATGGACTAAGGTATATAATTATTGGCCATAATATCACATATAGGGATGATTCATCAATTTATATAGCATAAAGCTATGAATTAAAAAATACATCTTTTAAAACATATCATGATTATTACCATACAATTTACAATTATGTATTCTATAGAAGAAATTACCCAGGTCAATGTTTTTAATAGTGGTATATGTACATTTAGATGTTATTGCTTAGTAATACTGATCTCTGACCTACATATTGGTTGTTACTACAAAAATCACTATGCCATATGCTGCCTTTATCTTCCTCAGGTGAAGAGATGCACCAAGTCACAGAGTTTCTAAAATAACTTGAGTAAGATAACGTCTCATTTCTGATATGTCCACATAAAAGGCAAGGGGACAACACAGATGATAGTCTTCTCTGAGTCACTCAAAGCTGAACACTCATTGTGCAAAACTTCATTCTCATTGAACTCTCTGGAAATATCCTGTCAAACACTTCATCCTGAAAATGTCCCTTTGACTTACGATTTGTACCTAACCTAATCCTCTTCCTATGCTTCTGCAGTCATATTTGGCATTTCCTTCATTACCTTCTCTTCCTTTCCTGCCCTCCACTCTCTTGTCATGTGCATCTTATACATGGGCTCTTCTAGAACCCACCCTATATATCCCACAGTAGTCCACAGATGAATACATGACTTCCCCTCCTGTATCCCTTCTGCTGGTAACTGGTAAACATTCTTCTTCAGCCAGAAACCCCTGAGTCGTCTTGATTTCTCCCTTTCATTCATTTGGACAAAAATTGGTTGGGCACCTAGAAGAGGCCTTCTTGTAGGTGCTGGGAAAGCAGTTATTAACAAGACAGATGAGGTCCCTGTCTCCCTGCATTTCATGCCTCATGTTCTATGAAACACTGAGATCTGTCTAGTTTACCTCCAGGTTACTTTTTGTTTTTTCTCCTTCTTTCTATCCTCAATGCTCCTGGCTTATCTGTCACAAACTACTGCAATAGCTTCCTTTCCAGTCTCTGCTCGGTCATGCCCTTCTTCCCCTCTATTCTCCTCTTTGTTACAGCGGATGGTTCTAACATACAAGTCCAAACATTTCTTGCCTAATCAACATGTTTCATCACAACATACCACCTAAGCTCCTCTGCATAGTATACAAAGATGCTTTTTCAGTCCATACCCACTTGCATAATCTCCTTTTGCTTCATTCCACCCCATACTTGGCAATATTAGCACATGTGTACATCCTGTGTCATGTGACTATGCACTCTGCTTCTGTGCTTTTGTGTGGGCTATTCCACCTTCCTGAGCCACCCACGCTTCATAGGCATGCCTCCAAAACACTGCCCTTAAGCCTCAACTCAAAAGATCATTCTTCTTTAGAGTCTTTAACTCTTCCAGAAATTTTTTTTTTCTTGAGAAAGAGTCTTGCTCTGTCACCCAGG